AACCCGTCCAGAGGACTTATACACTTTTTTTCTTTTTGATTTTTTTACCTGGATTACTGAGATGCACCAGGACGTCACCTGGATACATTTTATTTTCAAAGCAACATCTACATCATAACAGATATTTTTTAATTAACTTTTATCTGCAGTACTAAAGAGGATTAGGGCCACGGACAAAAAAAATTAAATAAAAAAACAAATAAATAAAAAGTCAGAYTTTAATTCCAGAATTCTGACTTTTTTCGTAAAATATTGAGAATAAAGAATTATTTTTTCCCAGTGGCCCTAATCCTCTATCATATGCATGTGTACCCGTTAGTCACATGCAAAATATTTTTTCATTGGAAAAACTGCGATTTTAATTTTTATTATTTGATTTTATGTGTTAATTAGGATCAAACTCTTAACTTTGAAATTGTTACTTTGTTTTTTAATCTCGTTTTAATTTTATCTTTATCATTCTAGCTTGCATATATTTTATATTTTGTTCATTATTTGCAGCTGTTTGAATCCTGTTTAAAAAATCTCAATTTGCGCATGCGCGCTGTTGCTTGGTGTACTGAGCATGCGCAAGAAACCGCAACAACAATGGCGTCGTTTTTAGCCCCACCCCGTGAATCAAGTTGCCAAGACCATATTTCCATTTACTTTTGTGACGAAATAAATTTAGCGAGCGGAAATCAAACAATATATACATTTATTTATAAAGCTAAGCTAATGTTTTGAGAAATCCACAGCAAGGTCGTTTTTTTTTTTTTTAACGAAGACCTTATCGCCATCTACTGGCACTACACGAGTACGTCTCCTTTTCTGTCTTAGGCCCAAGTTTCCAATGCGAGCGGTAAATCTGCGATGTTATTATTTACAGGTGTGTTCAGACATCCCACTCTGGCTTACAGGGGTTACCGTGGAGACGACGTCAGCTTTCTAAAACAGCGTAGTACAACCTGTGACGTAGCTTTGCGGTACGAAGAGCCGCTCGCAGCTTTGTTGTTTATTCTGAGGCTTCCCCCGGAGCGCCAGCAGACAATTAAATTGGACATCTGTCTATGCTCGTTGTCCTCCACGGCCCGCTGGCATCAGCAATGATTTCACTCAGAACAGCCGAGACACGTGAGGACACACATCTGTAAAAATTAAATTAATGGTAATTGCTTTTTAAACCACCCACAAATAGGATTAGGATCGGATTCGGACCTGCTGTCGGAACTAAATCTATTGGTTTACCCTTCAAGAATTAAGTGGAAATTATTATTTTTTAATAGTTAGACCACATCACTTAGTTCAGGTTTGTTTACAGACTGACGTGCTTTTTATAATTTCCTCCATTCCCATTAAAAACAAACATTTTTACTCTCCAAATAGTGTTTTAATTCATAATCCTTTTTGACATTCACCCTTTAAATAATTAAATAGTGGGTTGTAAACAACGAACACACCCCTCATTCACTGTAAACGAGGCGTTAAATGTCTTCAGAATGAGAAATAAAAGGTTTGTGTAAAAAAAAAAAGCAGGTCACAATGACAGGAAGAGCACAAAGGCAGGGCAGATGGAGGATCCTGTGAAAACACTGGCAGCCATGATCTCAGGGCAGGTGTGTACATTTCTTTATTCCGTCATGTTGACACAAACGGAGCAGCATTTTAACAAAAAGCTGCGGGAAAAGAGATTAAAAAAAAAAAACCTCATTTGATGGATGGAGGTAGCCTGCTGCTCATCATTTGTATTCAGCTGATGGAGCTGAGGCTAAACTGCACTAAGCAGGAAAAAAAAAAAAACAAGTCTTTGAAGTCACGCCTTTAAAAAAATGTTTCTTGAAACCAACTTATAAAAAATGAATCAAACTGACCTTTTTTTTTATCCCGACGTCTGTCTCATTACAGCTGGGTTGTCCCTGGCTTTGGCATCGTGGAAACCAATTCTCAGGTGGGAATAAAAAAATGGAATAAATAGAAATCAGCCAAACATCTCCTTTCCCAGCTGGTACATTTCCACACAGGAGCAGTTTGTGTAAAATCCGAGCAGGCTCGTGTTTGGATGCGAGGATGAGGTGCGGCGTGTTGAGATGGAGTCTCCTGGATGGCAGGGTGGATCAGGGAGGAGGAGTGTGTGTGAAGTGAGATCCACTAAGCTATGAGCGAGGAGGAGGAGGAGGAAGGCAGGGTTGGATTATAGCATCATCCTCTCCTCAAACCAAAGCAAACAGTTTCGCCCACAACATTGAATATTTATCCACTGCTGCTGCATCAGCAGCTCCAGAAAGGAGCCCCCCCGTCATGCACCCCACCTCAGAGATGCTGATAGATGACCTGACACTGTTCATGGTAAGTAACATTGAACCAATAAGATAAAGGTCACCAACAAGATTTATTACTCATGAAATGAAACAAAACATTCAGTTTATGTGAGGTTTATTGAAAAACTGGTGCCACCAGCAGAATCAGCCTCTATTACAAAAATACACACAAAAAAGAAAAACAAAAATTAAAAAAAGGAAAAAAAACATGGCTTTGTGTTTACACACTATTTACATTCAGCGTAGGTTTATAAAAAATAAAATTAAAGGGGGTGGGTGGGGTCACTTTCCCATGACACTCAGGATGTTTGTCTGCAAACGAGAAGTACGATTTGATTTAATGATTTATTTCAGACGTGTGAAAAACAGAAATTCAAAAAGCAGCATAATAAAACATTTGTTCTTAAGAGATATTTTAAAGCTCCTATAAAACAGCAGCCTTCAATTAAAACTCATCAAGTTCTACTGGAAGACAATTTTCTTGAGCAACAGTTAAGGAAATGTAGTTTACCCAAATAAAGACACGGTTTACAAAATAAACCCTTTAGTAGATTAAGATTAGTATTCTAAAGTTAAAATAAAGGGCATTTGAAGTCAACATATAAAACCATGCTTGCTTGTTTATGCCAACTATCCAGAACAACTATTAAAATAAAGTAAAATTCCTGTTGCTGAACAGCGAGCGGATCTTATTTCAACAACATCCTAAAATAACTACCTTGCCAGGAAACAAAAACAAAACGAAAAAAAAAAAAAAGTATTATGGTACAAGTTTTTAGGTAATTATTTCCAGGTGTCGGTTTACAGATTTTGTGCCCTCAGGTCAGACTAGAGTGGTAAGGATTGCTCAAATGTTTTGTGTTCATTTTGGAGCAAAACTTCAGATTTACTGATGACGTCATCATTTGAGGGACCCCCTCTTGTATGACCACTTAGTCCAGTGTGACCTTTTTGTGTCTGATGGCCAAAGAATGGGAAATGTTTACGACTTGTGATTTGGACAATCTGAAACCTGAAAGAAGTGGGATTTTCTTTTGAGAGCAAAAAACTAAAAATTCCTTTGACTCTAAATGCATCTGTTCCTCTAAAATGGTTTGGGACACCATATGTCCCTTAATGAAACCGGTGCTTTTAGGTCATCTGTTTAAAATAAACTGAAGACTCCTCTCTGACAGGACCGCTGTTCTTTACATTCCTTAAACTGCAGCTCAAACATCACAATTAGGTTTTATATACAGTTTAGAGGCTAGTTCCGATACAACAAACTGACATTCGTGTGAAACTGAGGACACAACTTACCGTCACAAAGGAAGAAAATCTCTTTCCTGTCATGCCCTGAACTTTTATTAGATCTTCCAACTGTAAAATGTTAGAAAAAAAMCACTCATTAGGTCACAATTTATAACAGTCAGGATGTGATTTGCACAATGCTGACCTTTGTGAATTGACCATGGATCTCCCTCCAGCCCAGAATGAGTTTTGCCTTCTTGTCACCGATCTGCTGCAGACCTTTCAGCTCCTTGAGGGAGCCGGTGTTTAGAATATGCAGGATTTTGTCTTTGGACTGTTCCAGCACAGATTTGTCAAGTTGAGACTCCCATGAACTCTGCTCTTTGTTTTCTTTACCATTTGGGGCCTGAAAAGGAAGCATTTTTAWTTAAAAAGTAATGCAGACAAATCAAAGTTTAACTGACCATGTGATCATTAGTAAACAGTGGATTTGACCCATAAATCTGAGCTCCTGCAGGACGTGTGGGGTCACACAGAAACACTGAAGCTAATGCCCTACGTCAGCTTGTATCTGATGCTTGCAGCTCTGCAGATGTGTTGAGCTAAGCAGAGCACAGTGACGGCTCGGATGCTGACCTCAACCAGGTCTGAAAGCCTCTTCTCTTCCCTCGTGATGCACACAGACTGTTTTTTGACGACCGCAATCTGCTGCAGCTTGGACACTGGAAGGAGAAAAGACAATATTGAAAAGTGATGTGAAATTGATCCATTTACTGATTCACATTAGAACATGCTTGAATTCTGGAAGCTTCAAACTGGAATACTGTAGGTTTACAGAGAAATGAGTCACTTCTGATGGTGGTGTTTTGTAAACAAGGATAGACTTATCTGGCCCACACTCCATGCTGCTGAGGGGGGTGAAAATGTTCCCCCCTCATCGTAATTTGATATATTTTTGGCTCCTGAAGTATAGATTAAGGTTTTGTATCACAATGCAGTGCATCAATACTTCTAGTGATTCAACATGACAGAATCTTTCAGGAAAGCTTGAGGAACAGAAGATGACAATTTGTTTTCTTACACTTTTCTCTTTCCAAAAAGCAGCTGAAGGATCTGAGACATTGACAGTTTAAGATGCTGTTTGGTAAAACAGCTTCAGCTGACCTTGTAAGGGTTGGACCACAGCACGCTGCTTATTGAGTTTTGTGGCATTTGGGGGTTTCCTCTGCAGTGGGGCCGAGTTGTTCTGGAATAGAGACTCCTGTTTTGAGTCCGACTTGTCTGCCAGCTGGTTGAACGCTTTTCTTTCAAACTCTCTCTGCTTTTCTTTGATCTCCTGCAAAAAAACGGCAAACAGCTCAAATAATCATTAAAAAAAAGCTGATTTACCAACGTGAGACAAGTTGCCTACAAACTGAAGCTGTGACGGACATTATTAACAGAACAACAACGGCCACAACGTCACCTGGATTTCTTTGCGAGACTGAGCCACATGTTTCAGAACGCTCTGCCCGTCTTTGTCCTGGCAGCTCATCACCAGCTTCTCCAGAGCGATCAATCTTTCCATCACAGATGGTTCWGACAGACTGGAACAAAACCAAATTCAGGCCATATGACAACGAGCAGGTTTTATAACCTCRACTCACACTGAATGATGGGACTATTTAAAGTGAATTTCACCAGGTAACAGAGGGATCCGCCTTCCAAAAAGGAAGTCCCAGTTCTGACAATAATCACTAACCCGTAGTAAAGTGTTGAGGGCGAGGAACCGTCCTGTTCAGCCCTCTTCTCGTCTTTCTGCTTCTTCTTGTTTGGCTCGACGCCAGACGGCCCTGCTTCACATTCCTCTCTGACCCGCTTCACTGGAGATGAAGGCAGTGGGAAAATGAACAGTTTAGTATTCAGCGCACTGGGGCGACAGTCTGACTCTGGTGGGGAGAAACTTTAAGAAACCGAGAGCACGAGTCTTGGTTGGGCTGGCTGATTCAAAGATGGATAAATGTCAAAAATGTCTGTCTTTAAAACAGCTGAGTAATCTTATTTAAAAGTTTTGTGTAATTTTTATTCATCATCCTCTGGGATACAACTTGGATGCCCTCTACTGGACAYTGCAACTAATCCTGACCTTCCTCCTCCACCTGTTCAGTTACTGTTGAATTAATTAAAGGAATCTACATCAACCACCACCCTGCATGCTAGAGTTTTAAACTATAATCATTTTATGTTCAGGAGCAAGTTACCACAACCAAATCCTGCACATTACCTGTAAAATTTACAGTTATTTCAGGGTTTTCCAAGGTCAGCTGGCTGCAGCAGCCATWTTGAACAGAGCTGACTCCAAAAGGCAGGTGTACCCGACTCACCTGGCAGCACGGCCACAGTCTCACGTGTGAAAGGCTTGTTCACGATCAGCTTGGACTTGGCCGCAAAGTTCAAAGCACCGAAAGTGTCGAAATAATATTTATACTCCGGTGCAATGTTCGTGATCATGACCGAGTGGGCGGAGCCTCCCAGGGAGTCCTGCAGCAGCCGGGTCAGTTTGCTGTCTCTGTATGGCACGCGGCCGGACGTGCCGGAGTTGAGGGCGTCCACCACTTTGCTGAGCGTGAAGAGCGACAGGTTGATGGCGCCGCTCTCCTTCAGGCGGATGCCCTGGTTGCCCGTGCGGCGATTGTCCTCGGACCCGGCCAAGTCGACCAAGTACAGCTTGCCTGTCTGCTGTCGGTGGGGCAAGGCACSCTGAGTTCGCACAACCTGATGTTTAGAAAAGATGCGTAAACGAAGGGCAGCAAAAAAAAAAAAAAAAAGGGCAAGTCAAATTTAAGTTTTGTAAAACAGATATTCAAGTTTGTTTATGAAAGAAATGGTTTGGTTACAGTCTAAAGCCCTGCACTACGGAAAAAAAAAGCAAAGATGACAAAAAGCACAGTAAACACAGGTTTGTATCTCTCCCGTTATAGTCCCAACAAGCACCATAGCTGCTAGAGGGATTGTTGCAGGAGAGATTTGATTTTAGCACCAGCTACCAAATCCTGGTCTACTGCCCAGAGACCACGACCTGCTAAGATGCTTTCCTCTGTCCTCCATAAATGTGGAGCAACTCAACAGTAAGTCTCAATTAGCCGTCGAAAGATCAATGATGAACCTTGATGAGTAGAATAGCGTGACTGCGACTGGAGCGCTGGTTCAGTTTGGTAGAAGCTGTGGTACGGTTGAGGGTGGCGGGGACGAAGTGTTTGTCAAAATCTGAGAAGGAGGAGATGATCGTGTGGGTGAGGCCAGGGATTAAGATGTTCTTGTCCTTGTCCTCCCGGATGGGCAAATCTTGAGAGTTTGGCGACAGAAGATCGAGAACCTGAGAACGAGAGATTAATGTTGGGAGAGATTCCACAAATCTATTGTCCAAACATGACATTTAAGTTTGTSCTGAACAATTATAAAAACAAACTGTAAACAATCCCCAGCTCAGTACAAGCTCAAACAGTTGTGATTAGTCTTTATAAAAAAAAAAAAAAAAGTGGCTAGAATCTGCAGGCAGTTGCAGGTCAAATTCCTCTGCAGTATCCTGGTATTTCCAGCCAGTCTGCAGTGATGAAACACAACACCCAGGCGGAGGTTTAAATTTTTGCTGAATGAGCTGAGCACTGAGCTGCAAGACTCGAGTCCAGTCCTAAAATAAAACCACAAGAAACGCTCCAAAACAGATGGAAAAATCTATAAAACAGATGGAAAAATCTATAAAATATGAAGACAAATTCATCAGTCTCTGCAGCAGCTGTCTGTTCAAATCCAGGTCTTCTGTGTGAAACTGACTTCCACCGTAAAGCTAATAAGTCTCACTCACAAGAAACACGCATGCTGGAAATAAATTGATAGTGAACAACTAGTATATATAAAATTAGATATGGATTAGAAATTTCATTGCAAGTATTGTTTAGAAAACAGTTCCTTTTCACATAAAAATCACTATGAAATATGTATAATCCATGGCTGTGCACACCAAACTGCCATCTGTTAGCATACATGTTGGGGATGACGCTCAGCTTTTATCACACTTAATATTTAGCAAATAACTAAGTGAGTGAGACACACTGCAAACTCCTGAACACTCAGAAGTGAGGTGGGAGTTTACAAGATTTTGTCGTCGTGTGTGCAGAATCAGAT